GTCGTATTCATGGGAACAACTCAGACAACACTTGCTCGTGTATAGATTGATGTATAACTTTTAAAAAAAAGAAGTGCACATGCTGAAAAGATTATCAGCAGCCTTAATGACAGTATTATGATGGTGGCAAAATACCCCAAATGAAATCAGATCCTTTCTTCCTATGAGCTTTTCAAGCACAGTAGCAGAACCAGGATCTTGCTGAGGAGTCTGCAAGTTAAACAGACAAAACTGGTGAAGAGCTGTTAGAGTCTTTGTTTTACACCTCAAGAGTCAAGGCACTGTGACCTTAAGTGACTGGCCCAGTGGCACACAGAGAATAAGGGCAAGCACTGCTGACAATTCAAGACCCCAGGTCTGGGAACACATCCCAGCCTCGGACCTGGTCAATGCTGGGATGAGATGTCCTGGTGTCCTCTCTCCTGCTTGGCCTTGTCATGTTGGAATAGAGTGAACAAGGTGGCATCGGAACTAGATGGGAGCTGCCAGCAGCTTCTACTCCTGCTTGGCCTTGTCATGTTGGAATAGACTGAACAAGGTGGCATAGGAACTAGGTGGGACCTTCAGCAGCTTCTGCTTAGGTCTTTGATCATATTGACTGGAAGAGGACAGCCTGATTCCTCTCTGTGTGCCAGGCTGGAGGTGGCCAGAGCACCTGTGAACAAGGTGGGCAGGTCTGTCTAGGTGAACCCAACTCCAGTGCAGTAGCTGCAGCACTGAGGTCTCCCTCTCTCCTGTTAAGACTGCACAGATGGCTATGATCCAGTTTCCACTCACCTTCTTTATGGCCAGTTTTACTGTTGTCACAGTATTCCTATTTCTTCTCATCCAAGTGCCTCCTCAGAGGCTACATGAATTTTCAAGATCCTACTTACATCTAGGAGATGGGCATTGCTCCTTCACCTGCAGACTTAATGCTGACCTGATAAGCTCAACCAGAGTGTCCAGAGGCAGCACAGAGGGGTGAGAAGAGCCTTCATCTCCCTGCTGTACACTAACAGTGGCTCAAAGACAAGAACAGGAGGTGGGAACTGTTGCCTCCTACTTGCCTCTGTAGCTTTGCTGGGGGCCAGTGTCAATCTTCACAGCTGAGACATGCAGCAAGCTAATTTCTATGTGTATCCATTGCAAAGAGCAGGTACATGATCATTTTCCCTCTTGCTCATCCTTTTTATTTCTCCCCCCGTCTACAGGGCTTCGCGTAACAAGTCTGAGAAGAAGAGGCGTGATCAGTTCAATGTTCTCATCAAAGAGCTCAGCTCCATGCTTCCAGGCAACACTCGCAAAATGGACAAAACCACTGTGCTGGAAAAAGTCATTGGCTTTCTGCAGAAACACAATGGTAAGATTTACTGCAGCTCTTCATGCACTTGCCAGACAGTTACTATAATAGCCTGTTTCCTTCAGTGATTATCAAAATAGCCCAAGGGGCCTAAAAGTGCCTACATAAGGTGTTTGGGTTTTATTCCAACCTCATCAAAGAAGATAATTTGCAGACACTGTGCTGCCCAAATCCATCTCCTTGTTTGCTCTTTAGTTGAAGATGACTCAACCTGCTGGAGAAGGGGTCAAGTGACAGGAGCTGAGGTAAAGAGGGCAGCAGTGCCCTGCAGCACACAGAAGTGAGATGCTTTGAACAAGAGAGTTTTGGGGCCAGAGGGAAGTTTCCCGTCCTTGAAATTTGCAATATTCTGAGCAGAAGAACAAAGTATTCACCCCAGCTTCTCTGCAGAAAAACGCAGGGAAGCAATCTGTTCAGCCCCCCTGCTCCTCAGTGGACTGTGTAGGACTCAATTTTCCACACTGAGCAGAAAACTCAGACCAGAAAGCACCTCAATTTCTGAAGTTGGCTTCAGCAAATTGCATCCACAGCTGTCGTGCTTCACCCAGTTTGCACAAGCAGAAGCTACATCACATCCTCAAAGCATCCAGTTGCAGTAGCAAAGTTCAGGCTCGGAGAGATAGCAGTTTATTTTTTTAAATGCTCACAGCAGAGACAGTTTAGTCCCTTAGAAATGTGCCTTCACAGAGGGCAGAGATGATTTCTGACCCTGCTGATCTAGTCTGATTGGTCTAGTTTCTACTCAGTGAGAGGAATGTGTACTGTGCCTTCCCTGATGCATGGACATCCACCAACTGAAACACTTCTCCCTGATAAATCAGGGCACTGGTTTAAAATGGGACTCCCTTGCCCTGTCCCTATGGGGAAGAGGCTTCAGTGAGTGACTGTGGGGAATGTCCCTGGTCCAACAAAGCAAAGGGGTCTTGTAAGCTGATGTACCACATCACCTGGCTCATCTGTGCTTATCCAGCACCTCCCTCCTGCACTCCCTGGAGAGCTCTGGGTGAAGCAGAAAAGACCATAAAAACTCTTACATCATGACTCCCAACATAATGGAGTCACAAATGTCATCCTTACTGAGGAAATGATTGCAGTGGTTCTGTTGTTAGATTGCAGTTTCTCCTTAAATGAATTTTTGCCACAGACAAGATAGAATCTAGAATCATTTAGGTTGGAAAGGACCATCTAGTCCCACCATTAACCAATGGTTTTATACAGGAAGGGATGACTAGGACATCTCAAAGTTTGATAGCTGTATATACTTTTTTTAAAATTACAGCAATAGATCTACTTTTCTTTAGCTGCCCAAGGCAGAGTAAAGGAGGATGTGAATATGTTCAATTATTAAGCCAAGCAAGGACCAATCACACAATATTTGAATAAGTATAGATAAGTGTAGCTGATGGCCCAAATAATTTAATCCAAAAGACACTTCTTGAAGAACAAGTAGGTGAAAGAGAGCTAACAGTCACAAATCCTTCCACAGCAATTGGGTCAAAATGTGACCGGGTTTTGTGCACTCGCTAAAAAAAGCAAATGTTATCTATTTTTAAACCAGATTAGTAGTCACACACTATAATACAAAGCATCAGCATTTAAAAATGTTGATTATCTTCATCGTCCTTTGGATCTGATCTATTCAATCGTATTTCCCTTTCCTTTAGTAGGCTAAACCAAGATTTGAGTCATAACCGAGGAGGAGGTCAGTTTTCAGATTTTTATTTCTTCATGAACAGCCTCCTTCTTTATAATTCCATGCCCTTCATAATCCACAGAATCTCCCAAATCTCAAGTAATTCTTCCAACAGTCACTGCTTCAAGCACATTAGCTTTCTCAAGCTACAAATCTGCTGGAAGTATGCTATATTCTGAAGCTATCTAATAAAAATCTGGACTCTCTTTCCTTATTCTGGTTTTCAAACCCCTGTGTAAAACCACGGGAGTGTGGAGAGCTGCTGTGCTGCCAGTGACAGCCCCCAGCAGTGCAGAAAGCAAGTGGAAGGAGCTGGTAGAAGCAGACAGCTGCATCTCCACTAACACAGCCTGAACAGAGACTTTGATTTCTCTCTAGGCGACAAAATGCACAGGCACTCGTATAAATTTGCTGTCTTTAGTAGCGTTTATCCATGTGCATTTCTCTGGCCAGTTTGCCTATGTGTTCTGAATATGGAGCATGGGGTGTCCTACATGCTCTGGAAGTGTTAATCGATAGGATTAATTAGCAGGTGGTGCTGCAAGGAGGAGACAGTCTGTGCTCACCATCCCTCACTCCTAGAGCTGAGGGAAGGAGCACTCTAAGAGCAGTGGAGCAAGCAGTGAACTAAACCAGCTCATGTCCCTCTAATGATGAGATCTGTCCCCCATAACCCTGCCTGACTCAGGTAGACCTAACGTGGGTGACTATGGCTCACCACAGTGCAACCAGCTCTCCCCAGTATGGTCCCCAGTTCCAGTGTGAAGCTGTGACTTGTTACCCCAGTGTGCCTGCACTCTCCATGGAAAGCCCTTGGAGAACACACCTCTGCAAGCTGCTGTTTGGGTCAGGATGCCAACAGCAGGGCAGAACCCCACCTTGCTGTCTCATGGGCTGATCCTGCCCTCCAGACAGGATTTGGGATCAGACACTGGTGCTCTGTCCCCTCTCCTGGGCTGCCCTACACCATGGTTCTGGAGGTAGAGGCATGGGAGAGAGTGGTGGCTGTGGCACCAGTGGAAAGGTGCTGTAAACACTTGTATTTCCATCACATTTTGGACAATGGAGCAATTGCTCTGCTGTTTGGGGTCATGGCCCTTTGAGGCCTCTCTGAAGGAGTTTTCTTGCTGCTCCCTATTTGGCACAGAAGCTGCAGGCTGAACCCTCTCCAGCATCCTAATTTTTGATGCTGTTAATTGCAAATAGCAGTTTGACACGTGCTAATCTTTGCCTTGATTTTAATTTCATGCAAAGTGGTTTTGTCTTCTGATCAATACCCCAGTAATGCTGCTCGGGGCCAAAGGCCTTGTGAATACAGACTCACACTGAAGTCAGTTCAAGTTGAGGTGAGTGAAAAATGGGGAAAACATTTCAGGATTGGGCCCAGTTTGAATAGTCATTGCTGTCTCTATATGCAAAACCTATGCTTGAAAACTGCAGGTTTTGAATGTAAAGGTGATTTCTCTCTTTTCATAACAATTCATATATAGTATTGCAAGACAGAAGCTTATTTGAATTTTCCAAATGTACATGTTTCATTTGTCTAGAAGTCTCGGCACAGACGGAGATTTCTGAAATTCAGCAGTACTGGAAGCCTTCGTTTCTCAGCAATGAAGAATTCACCCAGCTGATGTTGGAGGTGAACATGCATATATACCTCTTCTCGTTTTGTCTAGCAGTCATGGAAACATCTATGCATCTAGAGTAATATGTCACCTGCAGTTCCAAAAGAGGAGGTGTCAGGTACTGCTGTATTTGACCATCAAGCAGAGCTGTCACTGGGACAAGGGATTTGCAGCCTGCAAAGCTGCACCAGCGACTCCCAAGAAAGGCAATCCAGGGGAGAGATCCAAATCACAGGCTGCATTTTATTTTTACAAACAGAGGTGAGGTAAAGGGCACGTGGCAGTTTTTCTCCTGCCCTTGAAAGGTGTTATTATTACCTGGTATTTACACCAAAGTAGCACTTAAAAACCAACAGTGTCATATCCCTCTAGTGCTAGGTGCTATGCAGGTAGATAAAGCCTGACAGCTCCTCTTGGTTTGATGCAGTTGATACTTGCACTCTGATTTGCAAGGCCCTTACCAAACTCTTTGTATTCTAACGTTTTGCATTGATAGTTTTTAAATTGCCTTTAAATTATACCATAGGTCCTTGTAACTGGGATTTGAAGGGAGGTGACTCAGTGGCGTTTATGTAGGTTCAAAATGAAATGCAAATGAGCTGCTAAAATATATTTTTCGCTCTCAGTACCAGCTAGAACCTTCTTTAGCAAGGCTCTTCTCCTGTGCTAAACACATGGAGGTTGCATGGCCCCATAGTGTCCTTTGAGAAAAGCTTCTCCTCCTCACACTAATGTTGTGAATGTGGGACATGACCCAGGCTCTGGCAGTGGGCAGGGAGGGATGTTGGGAAGCAGATTCACCCATCAAGGGGTGGCATAAAGCTGGAGCATGTGGCTGTCCTCCAGGGGCTGGTGGTCCCTTGGCCACAGCATTTGTTGTGATGAGCCTCCCCTGGTCCAGTTTTACAAGACACTTTACTCCCATTGCTCCGACAACTGCCCATTCCCATCTCAGTGCACAGGAGCTTCACATATATAACTCCTTCAGTCTGTGCTGAAATACATCCCTCAGATAGCTGTAAATTGGCAGTTCTTCTGACAGGCTGGGCCTTTGTTGATTCTCCTTGTATGCTCCACAATTTTAGATTAAAACAATCGCTTTTGGTTTCCTAGTTTATAAATCATCTCCTTGCTACTGTGATTTTCCATGCCCTTCAAGATCACATTGGGTATTGGGATGCCCTGTTGTGCCAGCTGTTCATCATTCCCTGCTATTTTGCCTTTCTACTAATCTTATTTTATTAACACGAGGACAAGACTTCTTGAAGTGTTTCCCATCCTGTTATTCAAAGATGGAAAGGGTTGTGTTTTTTTCCAAGCACTAATTCAAAAGAATCAGAGCATAATTGACTGCAGCAATAAATCAGCTTTCCTGAAAGTGGCCTTTTCTTACCCCATTGAAAAGGCTGTTATCAAATTACACAAGAGTGTGCATTAGGCTCTGTTTGTCCATCTAGGACTGTTGCAGCAGTGAAGTCTTTGAAGAGGGATTTGCCCTCCTAATGTTGGAAAGTCCAGTCACAAGTAAATGAAAATAGAATTATGTATGCATACATTGACTTGATTTTACCACGAAATTCTGATGTGAGTCACTGTGTATAATTTGCATTGGGTATGAAATAAAGGCTTGATTTTTTAAAAACTAACAACCTTCACCATAGTAACGTGCACAATCCAGCTGCCTGGTAAAACCACTGCTCTCTTCTACGGGTTATGCTTTTCTAGAAAACAGCTTGAAAGTACTACGCTAAAGAAAAACATATTCTCTGCACTTAGATTAACAAAATCAAACTAACTATAGCAGCTGGAGGGTTTTCAGAGATGCTAAACACACACTCTTCTACTGGGGTATAAGTTATTGACTTGCTTTTCAAAGGATTGAAGCACCAGCAGATTCCCATTGACTTAAATAGTTGTGGGTGCTCAGCGTTCTCTGGAAAAAGGAACATATGTTTGTCTCTTTATTCAAGGCTTTGTGTTTTCTTTCTTTTCTTTTTCTTTTTTTTTTTTTTTTAAACAATTAGCATTTTCCAGTGTTCTCAGAATTCTTTCCCATATTGAAGCCAGCAGGGGGGGAAGGATGTGCTGTGGCTTACAAGATGAGCTGCTAGTCTGGCTTGGAGACATGCTTGGGTTTGCAGGAAGGTTTTGTAACTCCAGGGCACTCTGATCAGGCTGTTTGCAGTACACCTGTCTCCTGAGCAGGTACTGCCACTGGAGTATAGTAGAACTCTGCTCTGGTTCAGTCATGCTTGCAGTGCCTTTGCTGCTCAGCTCCTGCTGGCAACACTGACTCCAGAACACCAGGGAACTGACCCAGAATTGCTCCACTTGAAGGCATTGGGAGCTTCACCAGTGACTCCTTAATTACAATGGGAAGGTTTTACTATATTCTCTAAGCACCTACTAGTGAGTCTTAATTTGCTGAGGGGTTCTGTTGAGTGATCTAAAGCTTGTCTTGCTTTAGATCGCTCTGAGGAGAATCCCCCCCAAAATGAAGCACATCTTGCTTTAGATCTCCAAATCTACCTACACTTAACTTTGAACAACACTTAGCTCAACACTTGGCAGCACAGATTAAAGAAGAGACTAATTTGAAGGTGAAATTGCACTTTGGCAGAGGATGGGGGTAAGGCTGACATTTCCCTTGGTCCTTGGAGCCACAAGGTGGGACCGAAGTGAGGAAGAAACTCTGCAGAAGAGTGAATTTTTCTTGGAATGAGTAATCTAATACCATGACCTTTAAAATAAATCACTCAATTAAAACTCGGGCTAAGGATTATTTGATCATTTGCATTGCTTTTACTTACATGAAAGCCCAGTAATATACAACGATACATTAATACAAACTGAGATTTATGGGGTTTGCAGAGAAGTACCATTTTGAGATAGGACTGCATCCTTTCATCGTCCTTTGATATTTACACAGAGCTCAAATGTTCATTTTAATAACTTCCAAGGGATCCAGTCTTAGTCATTTTGCATTATTAAAATGTGTGATTAATTTAAAAACTGAGACATGAAATGTTCCTGTGAGCCCTTTGTTGCTTCAATAGTAGGTTTTACTAGACTACAAAGAGTCTTGTAGAAGTGAAATCAGGCTGTAAAATCAGAGAATTACTGTTCTGCAACTTGAGATAACATTCCTACAACTCGATAGCAATATGGTGCTGAAGTCAAACTTGTTTTGATCCACCCAT